CCGCACACTGAGCAGTCGGCAGCCAATATCTGTCAATCACACAAAATGAGATCCTGTACTGTCTGAGAGGAGAGCAGACTGACATCACAATCAACTCCAGTCAAACTGATGCATTGAACCCAATCGCCCAGATCAATGATGCTTGCATTTAAAACAATACCACTTCTTAAAAATAATTTCAAATAGCATTGGCTTGATTTTCATTGCCGTGTTTGTGGAGCTCAAGTTTAGTCCGTTAACGAACAGAAAGTGAAACTCTTATCATTCACAGTGTTTGGCTTTGAATGCATGGTGAACGTTTGGATGATCAGAACAATTCTCTTGGCTCATTCTCCATCAAGAACATGAGGAGGAATTTAATGATTAGAAATAATAAGTGAAACACGGCACAGCGACTCGGTTTAATTAGACAGTCTTTCTTTTCTTCTTAAGCAAGAAGAAATTATCATTCATATGGAACATGAATACAAATTTGCAGAAGAGTATTCTGATGCTGGAGGAGGCGGTTATTCATGGTCCATGTCCCGTGTAGGACTGATGAAATGAGCTCGTGCTCAGGGATTTCCTCTGACAGATTAGCTGATGAGAGAAATTGCCCTTAGGAATTCAAGATCCTGACCTTTTCTAAAACCTTTTGTCTGGGCTAAGGGTTGAGTGCAGTTTAATAATTTGAAAATGTCTTTACTTAACACCTCTTAATATAAGTTTAATTGACATAATTACTAAATAAAATGCTAAACATTTACTAATTTTCTGTATTTATCATTATCCTTGCAGTATCGGAAATAGTACAGATATTGTAAGGTATCGTATCGAAATTTTAGTATTGTGATAAGACTAATACACAATTATGTTCCTCTCATTATTATTATTATTATTATTATTATTATTATTATTATTAAACTAAGTATTAATCATACATTATATAAACAAATTATTATAAAAACTAATTATCATTATTGTGATTATTATTAATTTTCTGAGTATTAATCGTATCTTAGTATTTATCATCGTTATTATTATTATTATTATTATTATTATTATTATTATTATTAAATCTTTGTATTAATCATATGATGATGATGATGATGATTATTATTATTATTATTATTAATATTATTTATTTTATTATTATTATTATTATTATTATTATTATTATTATTAATTTTCCTTGTATTAACCATATTATTATTATTGTTATTAATAATCTTTTTACTGTTAATCATATATTATATAAACAAATTATTATAAAAAATACAAATAATAATAATAATTATTGATATTTTTATTGTTGTTGTTGTTATTATTAATCTTAGTGTTTTAATCATATTATCCTTATTATTATTTTGTATTATTATTTTTATTAATCTTGGTATTAATCATATTATTGTTATTATTAATCATATTATTATTATTATTATTATTATTATTATTATCATCATCTCTGTGTACAATATAAACACAAATTGTATAAAAACATCAATTATGTTTTTTTTATTACATTTAAGTATAAATTTGCAAGAAATAACTTGGAAATGATTCATTTAAAACACTGTAATATTTCCTGGATTTCCTTATTCGTGTAAAGTTTAACATATTAGGTAAATATTTTAATACTTAACACGATATTACTTCACATTTACATACTTTTGCAGCTTAGTTCCTATAACTTGACATGGTAGATATCATGAAAACAGCAGGTAACCCTCATTTTCCAGCACACAATCTCTTTGGCACAGGGATATTGCAATTCTAGACAATTGGATGTCCAGTTGTCAGGTCCTGGTTAAGCAACAAGACGTCATGCCTCTAGAGTGACTGATCACAACACACAGATCTGCCCTGAGGTGGAGAGGTCCTGTTTGGACACCGTGCGCTTAGCAGGGAAAAGGTGGAGTGCTGAGATTTTGGCCGCTGTTGCGTTAACACCTGTGTTGCGATCCTGCCAAAAATCCTTCATTGCTGACACACGGCTCCGAGCGCTCACAATCACAACAGCTTTTCATCCCCTCCTGATAATCGTACGGTCAGACCCAGACATCAGAATGTCCGTTTAAACAAAGCCTAGCCCTCAAAATGGAGGTTTTTTTTTTTTTTTGCAACGTAAGGGGGAACGTTCACTACCCGAATATCCCTTATGCTGTGCAGGATTTACTCAGCAGGGTTCTGCGGCAGTAGACATTGGCTCTTTGTCAGATGAGCTCTTTGTCAACACACACACACCAAAGCCGCTCATTCAAATGGCGACCTCTGCCGCCCTCGGAAGACAATGCGGCTTCCTCGCTGTGAGCTGAGGAAAAGGAGGTGTCCGTTCGACTATAATGCTCTTCAAAGTGCACAGTCTCCTCCTCAGAGCATTAAACGTGCAGCAGCTCTGAAGAGGGTGTACAGATTGCTCGTTTGTTTAAATTTCTTGTCATGTCTTGTGCGCCACCAGTCGCTGGAGAGTTCGGGTGGGGGGAAGGCAGTCCTGAGGGGAGGATAAACAACCTCGCCGCTCAATAAATAACAAAAAAAAAAATGGGGGAAGGAGAATAAGCTTCTCCTCATTGAGTTCTGTTACAAAGCCCCCCCTCCACTTGTGCTCGCCTTATTGGCCAGCCTGCTTGACTATTGCTTTCAGAAGTGCAGATCTATTACATCTTAGTGGACAAAAGATGATGAAGAGTCTGGATTAGGACGTGCTGTGGTGTGCGAGGAGGCCTTGAAGCACACTGAGCTCTTTGTCAGGAGGGTGGATCTGTCCCAGAATGCACAGCTGCGTTCGGACCAGGAGGCCTTGGGTTACCGGCTGGGTTTTTCGCAGGGTTGTGCAGATGCACCGAGTCAAAGGGCAGGAGCACTTGGTCGAGTGAAAACGATATCCACTTTAAGCTCAACGTATACCAGCTCTCGTCGAGTACAGGTTGTTAATATGTCATGATGTGTAGAAGTGGAATATTGTTTGTGATTTAGATTACAGGCAGAATCTGTTGGAAAATGTTTATATATCTTTTTGCTTTACTTGATCTTAAATGATTTGTTTGAGTTGGATTTGCTTGTTAGTTTGCTTCTAATGGCTGAAAGAGATGTTCTTGGTTTAAAATCTATGTAAAGTAGAAGTTGCTGAGACTTTTTTTAGGATGTTGACGTTCGAACAACTAAAATGTAATATTGTGTAGGGAGCGGGACTTTTTTGGCCATCATTTCCTTATAGCAAACTAGCGGTAAGAGCGGTGTGGTTAAGAAAATTGTGGCCAAAGACGTAGTAAACATAGGAGCACCACTCCAAAAATGGAAACAAATGGTCAGATTAGTTTAAAGATTACAATTTTTTTTTTTTTTTTTTTTTTTTACAGTGGATTATCTTGGACAGATTCATTGTTTTACCTAAAGAATAATAATGTGCACTAGCACAATAAGCTTGTAAAATAACAGAACACATACTGTGCATGTAAAGTTCAGCATTGTTAATTATATTGTAAACTCAAATATTGCAAAAAAAACAAAACAAAAAAAAAAAAACATTAATTGACCGTTTCCCTAGGGCTGGGTGATATTGCAAAAAATTTTTTATAATATTGTGTTTCATATCATTCCATATAGATAATTATTGAATTTTTGAATTTAGGAATATTATGATTTTTATTTATTTAACCACTTTAATTTTACTAAGGCAAATAGTTTTATTAGTCAAAAACAAAAATATTTAAACTAAATATCTCATCTCTTTATTATAAATTAACCATAAGTGTTTAAGAGACTCTTAAACCTGATAAATAAAATGTTACAAAGTGTGTGCAATGATAAAGGTAGATCAACATCTGTAAAGTGTCAATAATAATGATACAATAATCCTCAAACTCTGTAAACAAAACAAATTATGATCATCAAATCTGAGCTTTTAAGTAAAGGAACCAGCCATCATTATTCAAATACATGTTGAATATTACAAATTGTGAAGACTACATTACGCCCTAGTCTGAAAAATCTTTCATATTGGGAGCTAGTGGCTGAGATGCACAAGAAAAGAAACCAAAAAGCCACTCTGGCGACATCCTTACATTCTTTTTTTACTTACAGTCTCCTTACTGCTGCTATACGGCACTCATTTTCGCATGTGTTGTTATTCTGACATGAAGTCTCTCGTAATTAGGCGACTGTTTTCTCAGAGGATGACAAACAGACAAATCGTTGCTGCAGCTCTGATGCAAGTTTTTGGTGAAAAGTAAAAAGCACTGCAGTGTTTGGTTGCACTATGTTTGTCTTAGGTAGTTAGTCTGCCATTATTACTGAAATGTGTATATTCCATACAAAGCGTGAAGCAGGTTGGTTAGTTCTACTCATATGAATCACAGTGCGCTTGCAGCATTCGGAAAAGTTCAGATGTTTTTTAACTAGGTGTAACTGGAAAATGTGCGCCGTTCACGTGCATGTCACGTGCCTCCCTTGAAAATGACAAACTGACACACTAAGCTTATTGGCATTGCTTCCAAGGCACATGCTCAATAGCCACATTTTAATAAAACTATGGCGATTCTTATCGAACTTCATACTAAACTTTTTTTTTTCATTGATGTTGACAATGGTGTTCGGTCAATAAATAACGATATCGATTTTATCATCCAGCCCTACGTTTTCCCTCAAAATTTGTTATTTTTCATTTGTTAATTTGGGAGGGTTTTTCACTTGTTTACACTTTCAATTTGCTTTCAAGGACCATGATCTTTGCTCTGTTCATCAAAATGTCTTATGTAGTTCAAAATATTTATGTTTTTTATTATTAATTTAGTGCGTTTACTAATACTCATTCTTGATTTCCTGTAGTTAAGTTTTTCTTTGTAAACACAAGAGTATTATTCAAGTGATTTCTGCATAATTAAGTATTTTGTTGTTATTTCAAAACATTGTGATCATTTTAATAATATTTATTTTACTAATAAAAATTGAGAGAATGCTAAAACCTCACTGTTTTCTTTTATTAATCGTGCGCTCTTTGTGATGTTCTTCTCTTTGAACAGCACTTACAGAATCCGGCCAATTTCCAGACAGCGGCCACAGAGCTGCTGGACTGGTGCGGAGACCCACGAGCCTTCCAGCGGCCCTTCGAGCAAAGCCTTATGGGATGTTTGACGGTAAGACAGCAGCTGCTCAAGTCTTGTCCTCATGTCAGGGGCCAGTGACGAAGGTTAAAGCTACAGTCACGCTTCATGCGTCCCTCAGCCCACCCACTCAACTCTATCCCCCTCTGTTTCTTTTCTTCCCTCCTCTAACCTCTGCTTTTTATACTGCAATGTCACGGTATTTAATTTTTTGTTTCATGTTAAATATGTTCTCTTATCTCAATATACAAAATCAGCTACTGTATGAGCAAGTCATAGTTGGCTGATTCCCTCCTAAAGTAGCTGCCTTTAGATTATGATTTGTTTTCATATTTAGTTCTTCTTGGGGATGCTAGTGGTGCAGAACATATAGTTGGTTGAAAAACAGCCCCCAGTCCCACATTGTCTAAGAGTGTCATTGATTATGGCACATTGCCTGTGTTTAGCATTACCTTCTGTCTGGTTCAGGCCTTCAGTCCAGGTGCTTTTTGTGGGCTTACAGACATTTCCCATTGATTTCCACTGGTCTTATTGCAGTTCCACTCCCACTCTGTGATCTGAATTCCTTAGATAGTTATTTGCTTGGAGGCTCTAGGAAAATGTCTGTTCTAGCTATACTTAAACTTATCAGTTATCCTTGATTTTTTTCTCTATCTTTCTCTCTAAAGATTTGCTATTGTATATCTTTGGTCAGTGATTCTCAGCCAGGAGACTGAAGGCCATAATAAATCCTAAAATGTCTATGTAGTTATATTGCTAAATGCTATTTTTCAGTTTGTATTGTTATTTTAACAGAAGAATCAGTGTTTCTTGCAAGTAAGAGTTGTTATTGCAGCATAAACCCAGACAGGGTGATTACAACTCTAGTGTCAACCTAAGGAGGGTTTTTTGTTTTTAATTGAGTAAGCTGGATATATAATACATAACTACATCACACAAAATAAAATAATTGGGTACAAAATATAACAGCACAGCTTCTACGTATAACATTGCTAGCGAATGGCAAGTTCAGAGTAAATTGAAACCACAGACCTCGTCTGTTATACACAGATGACAGAATGAAATAACTCTACACTATATATTCCAAGTTGCCTACCTAAACACAATGTGTACATGAAGAAAAACAGGGCCTAGCATTGAATTCATGTATGTTGTTTAAGTGTAAATTATAGAAATTTGTGAAAACTTTTTAACAATTTTAATTAATGGAGCCTTTTGAGCTAAACGTCAACCTTTTTGGCATAACTGATATTATTATTTTTATTGCTTAAACAGCAAAAAATAAATAAATAAACAAATAAATAAATAAACAAATAAATAAATAAATAAAATAAAAAATAAAAAACAGTTTTAACCATTAATTATAATAAAATAATATGTTTCTTGAGCACCAAATAAGCATATTAAAATGATTTCTAAAGTTTCCCTGGATTAATGGCAACTGAGTATTCAGATTTACCATCACAGGTAAAAAAAAAAATGTTTATAAATATAAAAACATTAAAAAAAAATTATTAATTAATTAAAGTATTTATTTACTTATTAATTTACTTGCTTATATACTTATTAACTTATTTAGGGCAGCACTGGTTAGCACTGTTGTGCAAGTCATTTATAAAATAGTAACTAATAAAAGTTACTAGTTACTTCATTTAAAAAGTAACTCTTAAAAAGTACACCAAAAAGTAATGCATTACTGTTAAAAGTCATTTTTAGGTTACTTTTCCAAAGAACATTTGTAATGCTTCCACCAATAACGTGACGTCAGTGCTGCATGGAGAATACACTGTTAAACAAATTCACAGTTTGAATTAATTTGCATTCTCACAACTAAAACACAAGACAGACTTAAACAAAAAGTATTCTTTAAACAATAATTTATTAAAGTCAGATCAGCAGCACAAAAATAAAAAAAATCACAAGGTGATAAACAAGCTGAATAATATATATTTAGAAAAAAAAGAAGCCAAAATTAAAGATTCTTCTGCATCATAAAAGTTGCTGTATTTAAACCTTAAAAATGTTCCTTCAAAATCTGCTGTTGTACACAACTATAAAACATCTAAAACAATTTTTTTAAATCACAGAATTTTTCTGAGCAATACAACGCTATAAAGTTAAATAACGTGTTCTGAAATATAACAGAAATGTGTCACTGTCTACTAAACTAATAAATTTTGTTATACAGATAACAAATGTGTGCTTATTTATTTGAACAACCAAGAAACAGAAATGTGCACACATCTACAGCCATATCACCCTGCAGCCCATATCATCTACAGCCATATCAACCTGCAGCCCAAGACCGGTTACTTACTGAAGCTAAGCAGGGCTGAGCCTGGTCAGTACCTGGATGGGAGATCATGTGGGAAAACTTGGTTGCTGTTGGAAGTGGTGTTAGTGAGGCCAGCAGGGGGCGCTCAATCTGTGGTCTGTGTGAGTCCTAATGCCCCAGTAAAAGTGAAGGGGACACTATACTGTCAGTGGGTGCCGTCTTTCGGATGAGATGTTAAACCGAGATCCTGACTCTCTGTGGTATTTAAAAATCCCATGGCACTTCTCGTAAAGAGGAGGGGTTCAACCCCGGTGTCCTGGCCAAAGTCCGTCAATCGGCCCTTACGATCATGGCCTCCCAATCATCCCCATCCACCGAATTGGCTCTATGACTGTCTCTTCATTCCACCAATAGCTGGTATGTGGGGAGCGCACTGGCACCATTGTCATGTGTCTGCCTTCGCATTATCCGAGTAGATGCTGCACGCTTGTGGTGATGTGGAGAGACCCCTCTCATGATTGCGAATCGCTTTGGGTGTATGGCCATACACAGTAAATGCGCTTTATAAATACACATTACATTAAATCTAGAAATCTCAAAGGTGCTCAATCAAAAAACAGTAGCAAAAGATCAAAAGAAAATTGGCATACTGCCACTTTAGCTCTCAAAAAATTTCAATGTCACGTTTCGACCTACATGGTCTTTATCAGGTTGAGCCTAAAAACTCACTTGTGATGAGTTGTACTCGATAGTAAAAATTTACCATGATAACTACTATGATTTAAAAATTGTTGAAAAACAAGTAAATAATTTTCTGAGCCACACCAAATAATGAAACAGTCATCCATATATCGCCACCACAAAGAATTATTAGACAAGAATGAGTTGACCATTGGATTAAAACATATTCTTGATAAAAAAATCCCACATGCAAATTCGCAGAATTAAGAGCCATAGTGCTCCTCTGAACCTAATGAACACCATTTAGGCATAAAACATTTTTGAGAGCTAAAGTGGCATTGTGCTGAAAATTGAAAATCAAAAGAAAATTGTGCTTTTCTTTTGATATTTTGCTTATTTATTTCAAACACCAAACATAATTAACATAACTTTACCATAATAATAATGTTAATAGTATCTCGGTCTCTCTGGCGCGCATACTCGGTCTAACTTGCGCACCACTGTATATAGAAAGGTGTGGGCTAAACTGAAGCCAAAATTAGTTAAAGGTGCAGTAGGTGATTGTCTTCAGAAACATTTTTGTTGTACTGGTTGAAAGTCTATTCACACAATAATATTAATTAAAGTAAGTGATCTAAATGTATTTTAATATTCTGGGTAAGGCATAAAACAAAAAAATGTTCATCCAATAAAATAGAGTCAGGCCGTCAGTGCCAGTGGTGTAGTGGTTAGTGCGTCGACACATGCACTCCGGTGCTCGCGGCGACCCGGGTTTCGATTCCGCATCGTGGTCCTATGCCAATCCTTCCCCTCTCTCTGCTCCCCATGCTTTCCTGTTAATTCTCTACTGTCCTGTCAAAAATAAACGTGAAAACCCCGAAAAAAAAAAAAAAAAATAGAGTCGGGCCGACATCTCTCATAATTCCTATTAGTAGCCCAAACTGTCTGTCAGCAAATGCAGATTTGAACAACTGCGCGGCCGTTGTACGCAGCTCCGCTGTTTGTGCACCTAATGCACTTTTAATTTACCAACTACTGGACAAACGCGTCATATTGTAATGATAATGAAGTTAATATATTTAAAAAGTAATGTGTTACAGTATTAGGATTATTTGTATTATTACTAGTAACGCGTTATTGCCCAACACTGCTGGTTAGTATGAGAGACATCTTTGGAAAAAAAACATTCTTTCCAAACTTTCAACTGAGAGTGTGCTGGCTGATTTACAGGTAATCCTTTTTTGTTTGTTTTCTAGTGTTGTGAGGTTTCCAGCATTTTCATCACATATAGTTTTTTAAATCAGTGGCATAACCTCGCTCAAATCAACTTCACATACTTCCATGACTTTCTCCACCAACCAAGCTCATCTTCTTTTGAAATGGCTATGAATGCTAACGTACACTTTTTCCTGCCTTCTTTGGTGCTTTTCCACAGCTCTGACAGCCCGAGTTTTTCGCTCCTGCGTTCCTCTCTGGAGCTTATGTCATGTGTGTACCTGACAATGTGTTCCCCAGACGCCGTCTTCACTCCACACAGTTTGTGCAGTCTATTTGCGCTGTGTATATTGTAATTAATTTGTCTGATGCGGTGCGGACCCTCAGAGAGCAGCGGAGAAAGCTTCTCGTCCCCAGGTGAGGATGGTGGAGAGATGAAAGAGCGCTGGAGATAAGAACACTGGCTGACAGATGTGGACATGTCTTACACATTTCCCCTCAGGCAGCAGGTAGATCTGTGCTCTCCGCAGACCTACATATGGAGCTGTTCCTCCATTGTTTCCCAGCTGCACAATATCAGCACTCAGCCAAATGATAAATGACATCTCCAAACTGTCAGTAGCTTTAGCGATGACAACTATCTCTGCTGTTCCACTGTCTTTTCTCGTCAGCCCCTGTATTTCTGCAGTGCTGTGACTGAGCTTTCCTCTGGAAAGAAACAAACAGGCTTTTTTATTGTACAGGGTACAGCATAAACGAGTACATCCCTTTTTGAAAATGAATATTTTGAGCCATTTATCAGTAAATATAGACAATATATATTGGTTAATTTTAACAATTTAGTTTTATTAAACTGTTTTTT